TCATTCGCACATCGATGACGGTATATGCGTGCACGCGGAAGAATTAAGCTGAGCAAGGTGGTATTTAAAATCCAATCTTCGCATTAAGAAAACATTTTGTACGCGACATCGATTAAATTAATCTTCTTTGATTATTACCTCTCATGTTTCTTTCAATAAAATTTCAATTTGTTCCATACTTAAAATTCAGAGAAACGATCAGCGAATGAGACTCTCTCTGCGTTGGTGTCGAGGCAACACGAATAAATTTGTATGTGATTCGAATTATTATACTGATTATCACGTTGAAATAAACCGCGATTCTACTGTTATTTTCCATCTGTCAACCATCCATTATATATATATTTTTAAACCTCCAAATATTTTCGGCAAAAAATTTTACTGTTGTGTATAATATTGTCCGGACATTCAAAACTTTCGCTACAAAATTATTTCAGCTATTTCGACGAAAATCTCAACAACTCGAAATTTATCTTAATCATACAGATACGATTCAATTCTCCACAAGAAAAGCCGCGAGTACATCATGTCCTGTTTCGGCGGTCACAACGAGCAGATCTACCTACTCGAGATATTGATCGATAAATTGATACTAACGCCCGATAAAATCAAAGTCATCGGCGAATACCCTATCGTGATCAAGATCAAACTTTTAGACTTTCCCGTGTTTGAGTTCACGCGAGACGATTGGGACGCATCAAAGCGTAATCAAGAGATGCGTTTTATGGTTGGTAAATGCTGCCTATTTGTCAAGCGACCGCGAGATTTGGTCCAAGAATTACGCTCGTCGAGATTTAAGCTCGGTGTGTTTCGCGCAAACGAGACTTATCCCACGGCGGAGGCCGAATTGACTCTGCCAGGCTGCTTGTGTGATCAGATCTCCATGCTCGATAATGATTCACAAAATCAACCAAAACCGTTTATAATGAAGAAAGGCATCAATCTCGTAGATCCAGGCAAAGAGCCGTCTGGCACCCTGCATTTGGAATTCATCGTCGTATGCCTCGGACGTATCTTCAAGACACTCTACGAGTTGCGGCCTAAATCTTCCGTTTCCGGCGAGCAGGACAAAGAACGGGAGATCCGCGTGACGCGATTTATACCGCCCGAGTTTCTTGATAAGACAAAGGATGTGATATTGCAGGAGATTACTCCGGAAGTTAAAAAACCGAAAGCTAAAAAACCGAAAGCAAAGAAACCAAAGAAAGATAAAAAAAAGAAGAAGTAATTTCTGTAAATGTTTTCCAAGAACTCTGAAGTGCGACTTCTTACATTCATCAAATAATTATTTTCGATTCGTCGTTATGGCAACTATTTGACAACTAGAAATGTCAATTGACCTGTTGATGCGCGCGCGGAGAGATTGTTCGATTTTAGACCCGAAATGCTCTCAAAATTAATGGCACAATCCGTACAGACACATCGTTAACGTTAATCCGAAGTCACTTTCTAAATTTGTCGTGTGGCTGACAACTTGCACGTATCTTCATTTCTGCGTTTGATCCATCCGAAATGGCCTTGAAGAAAAATATGTCAATATTAGAAGGAGAACAATTGTACATGCTTGAAATTCTTATTGGTCACCTAAATCTATGTTCCGAAAAGACTGTTAGTAATGAAGGGTGTGATTTGATGATACGTATAAGTTTCGTCGATCTTAAACCTATCGACATCATCGCTCAGAAATCAATTAAGGTTAATGACGGAAGAACCAGGAGTAAAGAAAATGGATTTTTTAATGAGTACATCAGTTGCGAAGGCAAAACATGTCTGCTCGTTCGGACACCGAGCAATTTAATACAATCTGTAAAATCGACTCCTCTAAGCATCGAAGTGTATAGGATTTCTCTCGAGGAAGATCATAATTCGCGAGATGATGCTAGATTCGTTCTCTTTTGCGCAGCAACGGCATTTTTGCCAAAAAGTTTTTGCGATCACATAACTGCGGCCAAGAACAAGATAGATGGACTATCAAAATCATACGTGTTGACAAAAATTTATACTTTGACCGATGAACATGGGAATCCGTGCGGTTCTATATCCATGGGCACGAGGCTGTCGTGTTTTGGAAGCTCCATTATAAATCATCTTATGCTTCGCGAAAAGTCATTCATACTTCGAGGATTTCCTCTCGGTTGGAAGCTTTCTTGCACGAAACTATCCGATAAAAGTGAAAACAACGAGAGATACATGAAAAAATGTGACAACAATACATCATTATTGTACAAAATTCTCGATCCTACATATTCAAAATTATACAACCAGGATGATCGTACAGAGACAGAACCTGTATTGACGAGACCGGAATCGTCATTTCACATATCAATGAATCAGCCAGGATTCGAAAAATTAACGAGCACCGAGAAATTAAACAATCACAAGTACCGTGGTTTAATTTACGAGATCTATCATAACGAGTCAACTTGTTCGTGTCTACCGACAGATCGATCGACACATCCAATGTGTCGTTTCGGATGTGTCCGTTCTTGTTGTATGTCTTTAAGAAATCCCGATTCTCTTAAAAAGTTTCCATCGCTCGCTACGCTTGCTTCCGATAATTTTTATTTAAAATCAGATATGGAGCAAAACGTGACCTGTCATGATTCTCCGAGGCTAAGAGGTGGTGAAGATACAGAAGATAATTATTTAAATAACAAAGCTTCATGGGACGAAGGATACACGTGGCATGATAATGATATTAATTTAAAAAATCGTATAATGGGTGGAAGTGATTATGACGCATCAGCCCGTGCGTTTTCCGAAGCACCGACTGTTATGTATGAAGAGAGCAAGAGATCGGGCGTTAATTTGCCATTCAGTTCTCAATCAAGAACAGCAGACGGAATTAAAGGGCCAGACTGCATTTGTCCAGGGAATGTTTCATTGCCTTGGAAAACAAATGCGCCTAGATGCTCGAAAAAACCGTGTGTGGGTGCAGATTGTATGATTCGCGCCTTCAAAGAGGTCCAAGAATTCGTGGATTCTCTCGGTAAGGTGCCAGGTATGAAGGGTCTTGGCTTGATGGATCCATCTGAAAGTCCTTATTTCGGCCGAGACATACAGTGGGATTACACCGTTCAAGAAATACCAAGCGAGAAAAAACGAGGATATCCCATTTCAGCATCGCCAGTACCAACAGTTCAGTGTCCCGCACCTTGCAATACACAAATTGGTAAACCCATCGCTAGTACTCTCTCCGCACCTTACGTTGCATCTTCCATAATGACAGCAGTTCCAGGACGCTCTGGTGTTGTACGCGAGGCGATTCCGTCGTTACCGGAAACGACGTCATTCCTAGTCGCCGGCAAGCTATCAAAAAAGAAAGAGGACAAAAAGGAAGAGAAATTGGAAAAGCAGAAGGAGCTGGATGTTACAACCTCCGCGCCACTAGACGCGGTCGACGTTGGTCCTTGCGGTGAACCGAAATGCAAATCTCGCCGGAAGAAAAAGTATAATAATCAAACAATGCGCGACAATGAGGCATCAGAGACAAAGCCAATACAGACATTATTGCCTGGTACCATTGCTGCGAAGGCTGTTGGCAAATTAGTCGAAAAGGGACGATATCCGAAGGGTAAGCCAGGTCCGAGTGGTGATCGTGATAGGGGTCCTATCAAGGTCAGCAAACGAGTGATGCGATACGTTTATTCTATTGGCGACGTTTATCCTGGGACTAATTACGGTCATAAGAATTGCATCGATCCACGATTTAGGGTGCCGGCTAACATGGGCTGGCTGTGGAATACGACAGCAACGGCAGGCAAATTCAAGCCGCGAATCGGCTGGAGGCCAGGCGCGATCGGACGTTACGTGAATGAAATGCTGAAGGAAGCAAAGGGAGCTACTATGGAGGATTATCGGGCAAAGTCAATACCCTCGCGCGATAGTTTGCGACGCGGCAAAGTGTACAAAAGCATAAGCTATGTGTCGCAAGTGAAGAAGGAGAGTGAAGAGGACGCGGAACCGCCACCGACCCTGCACATTCACCGTAAGGATGGCACATACTACGTGACAATGTATCCGATCAGGCAGGAGACGACCGCGGAGGTATCGCAGCTAGAGGAACCGATGAAGCCGCTGCAGTTCAAGATAGTGCGCAACAAGGATGATACCTCCGTCGCATCGAGCTCCACGGCGTCAGACATGGAAATCGAATTCTCGCCGCCGGCAGCGGTCAACAGATACCGCAAGAAGCCTGACGTGATTCACGTGGACACCCAGGTCAGGCAGCAGGAGATTCTCAATGCGTTCAAGGTGACGGACGACACGCAGAAGACGAAGGAGAAGAAAAGCAAGAGGGAAAGGAAAGCGAAAAAATAACGAAACTATCCTCCCTTTTCTTCTCCCTTCGCTCATTAAACCCCCAGCACGATCACATGAAAGAGAAGTAGCTTTATCGAAGGTTTGTATCTCACCGAAAATTTAAGTGCAATGCACGTTCTGGCGACCGGTTATGTTATCCCGATCCTAATTTTACACGACGCGTTAAATTCGATTACGTGCAACCCATACTTTTCCTAAGTTCAGGCGGCTAATTGCGAGAATAATTTGTGAAGAAAACGCAATTATATCCTTTGTAAATTTAATATCTCTAGCTAAAATGACCGATATTATTTAAAGAGATGGAAAGAGAAATTATTAACTGAGTAATATTTACTTCTAATCTTTTCCAACTCGTCGCGATAAATTAGTTCATTTGAAAGATTTATTATTCTTATTGTGCAAAAAACAGATGTTTAACATCGCATTCGAGATAATTTCAGATAGTGTCTATGCAATTATATAGAGCGTTATCTCAGTCAATGCATCGTGTATTTAAATCCAGTCTATTAAATATTATTTACGGAATTTATATCGAGTCAAAAGTTGAAAAACATGTAATAGGATAACAAGTTTTATGCAGGTTATGCACGTTTCTATTAATGTAGATTAATTTTAATCTCGATTCAATTTACTTTTTATTCTTTTCTAATTCTTGCAATTAGATAACTAAAAAAAAAAGATAAAAAGTATCTAATTATTAATCCAAGATTAAACATTAATTGAGCTTGTAAATAATAATGTTTCTATATTGGTAGCAACAGGTTGGTAGGATATTAGACAAGTTTGCATTAATAAAGTTAGATTGAGCACACCGGATTGAAGGCATAAGTCACGTTATCGAAATACTCGAAATATATATAATTCGTTCCATTTGTATAGTGAAGTACGTTTGGATAGAATATAGATACTTGCGTTTGATTTGATACTGTGAGCGACATCTGTGGACGGTGTAGCTTCTTTACACGTGTATAAAGTTTCTTATCTTATCAACGGGAGTTAAGATTAGTAAGGGAAAGGTCTACTCGGTACTTCGTACTCTCGGTATTTTGACAGGAGATGAATGTCACAACACAGGATGAGAGGAATCAGATTGCGCGTAAGAAGATGCTTGACCTGCACGAAGTCCGCGTGGGAAAAGTCCCACAGGATTCGCCGTGGTTAAGAAGCATTCGCTTGCACTACGTCCATAATGGTCAGTCTAAGAATTGGGATGTGATAACGATGCACGACAGCGTGTGTATAATTGTCTTCAATGTAAGTCGAAGGAAGCTCGTATTCGTTAGACAATTCCGGCCAGCAGTGTATTACGCATCTCAATCGGAGAAGCAAGAGACGATCGATGTCAAGTGTTATCCTGCGACACTGGGGATAACTTTGGAACTCTGCGCTGGTATTGTGGATAAGAATAAATCTCTCGTCGAGATCGCAAGGGACGAGTTGAAGGAAGAGTGTGGTTACGAAGTACCCACTTCATCATTTAAACAAATTCTTACCTATCTGTAAGTCTGAAATATACTTACTGTGCTCTAGTCACATGACTTTTGTTATTATGTAATAGATAAAGCTATTTATTAAGTTTAGAAGTAATGAGAGATATTTCTATACGTATAACTTGCTCTGAATAAAATAAACTATGTCTAGAATATTTAAGTATTAAAAAAATGTAATTTTATGTTTTCTAGATCTAGTGCTTCTGCTAGTGCAAAGCAAACTCTTTTCTATGTAGAAGTCACCGATGACATGAAGATATATCCTGGTAAGTTCAATTGTAAAAAGCTTTTCTTAAAGCAATATTTTGTCAAGTAGTTTCAAAGAATATTTTTTCATAATATAATCGATATAAACTCTTTCAAATATATAACAAAATTTTTAATCCAGTTTGAATCTTTCTCATTGTCAAAGGTGGTGGTGATGAGTCCGAAGGTGAAGTCATAGAAGTAGTGGAATTAAGCATTCCTGAATTGAAGGATTATATGAGCACCAAAGAAGTATCAAGTCCCTCCAGCTTCCTCCACGGTGTGTCTTGGTTTCTACTTAATAAATCTGAGTACTGTTAATTAGAATAAAGCTAAAATTTATCTTGCTCGGGACTCTAAAATAAATTAAAGAATGGCAAATTAATTGCAAGTAAAAACGAAAATGCTGTTATTTAATCGCATTTATTTACAAATAGAGCATTTATACACAAGCAATGAGATAGTTACACAATTTAAGTTATACAAAATTACAAGGAGACTGACTTCAATTAGTATTCAGTTCATCCTTTGTGAATTGAGAGCTAACCCATGCAAGACCCCATTTTAAATTTGTCAGTAGGAACTTTAAGGCCTTGGTCCATTGTTCTTCCGAATTGAATTGTATTCTAAAAAAGGAAAAGAGAAAGATTAAATATTTCTTGTATTATAGATAAATTTTTCATGTATAAATTAAGTTGAAGATTTATTAATACTCAAACATACTTTATAGAATAAGAGTTGCCTGTTGCGGAATCTTCAATTTTACCTCGATCCATTCTATATGGCAGACAAAATTCACTGTCTCCTTTTTCTACTTGTTCTTTAAATTGTTGCAAACAATCCAGAAATGCTACCATAGCTGCATCAAATTTTGTGTCCCATAAAAATTTAAATCCTCCACTTCCATATAGTGGAAGTTCTTTATTTTGATCCAAAGCCTCAATATAACTGTGATTGCCAAACGGCACTAAACGAAAACGCTTAAATGTTAAATTCATTTTGCGTGCAAGAGCCACTAGTAAAAGAGTTGTTTGTCCCCATGCGGCATTTATCTCGCTCCAATCCACTGGTGCGCTCGGTAATCGTCCTAATCGAAATGAATTTATAGTTCCAAAGTGACCTGAATGCCAGATGTGAAATGTGGCGTTAAAAACATTCGTTTTCTTCAGCCTCTCGAGTTGCGAAGCTGCATATGCCAGTTGATTATCCAGACTGCGAGACAAAAAATTCAATTTTTCAATTTTTATTTTAATATTAGGTGTAGTAAAAAGAAATCCATTATTTTTGCATGAAATTGAATGGAAAAATAATGGATTTCTTTTTACTACACCCAATATAATAAAAATAAAAATATTAATAAACAATTGTTTTACTTGAAAAACAACAATATTTATTAAGTATACTTTGGGATATTTTTTTTTACCTGCGACATTCATCGTCAGCTAACATGAGATCTCTTCTGTGTTTTGAATATTCTTTCCAATACCTGTCCTCCTCACTTTGCAATCTCTCCTTTTCTCTTTCTTGTTCCGCTATGGCATTCCTAGTAGCTATTTCTTCTTTTCTCAATGCCTCCAATTCCCTTATCAATCTTTCTTCTTCGGCCTTTACGTCCTGTAATTCTTTTGTGAGATTCTCCATTTCTACATCTTCATGTCCCTGATATTGTTGCTCAATTTCTAATTTCTTTAGATATTCATTATAATCTGACCACTCTCCTTCTGTCATTCGTAATTGTTGATCCATTAATAGCAAAAGGCTATCTGTACATTCATCGCAAAGTGGATGATCTGCTGAACTGCTACTGCTAAGAATATCAAATAACGTTGCTCGTACCTAGAAAAATACATATCAATTTGTAGCTACAGTTAAGATTTTTTAAATTATCTGTATACCTTTAAATGATGACTTAAGCTTTCCGTTTCACCAGAATCACCAACCAACATAAATCCATTTGTACCATTTCCTGATTCAGTCAATCTGAATGGTGGAACCAAGTGCTCTATACTGTCACTTTGAGGTTCCAATTCTCCGACAACTTGTTGTTGTATAGGAACTACAATGAATTAATAATTCACAAAATTAGCTATACTAGACAATTTGTAATAAATTAAGTAATTATACTTGTATTCTGTTGTTAGACATTTAAACATATATAATTAACAGCTAATATAATTTCTTTTTGTATACTGAGTGACAGTGCATGTAAAGTTTAGATAGATGTATTATGTAAAAATCATTGTTTACACACATAGGTGCACAATGCTAGCTGCATTTATCAATAGAGTTTGTGCTTGCTTTAAAATTATTAGGAAACGTCAGATTATTCAGAGTATTCTTGAAGATATAGATTAGCACGTCGTCACACGTTAGTCATAAGCATCCAGTGCATATACAAAAGCGTTATCAACACGAAGGTATCAAGTGGGGCAATTGGATCAGTGATGAATATCCAAGTCGCCAGTAGAAAATAGAAATTACCTACGTGAGAGTTCTGCCAGGGTGTGCTCCCCAAGGTGATCGAAACTCGAGTCTAATTTCAACGGTTGCAGACACCGTTGGCATGCGAAACTGACATTTGTCTTTAAGTCTACCATATCGTGTACGTCGCTTATCGAAGAAAGCTGCTCCGTACAACCTGTCTGTGCGCGTCGTTATTTACGAATACCAACGAATACGCGTCTGCTGCTGTCTACGACGCTGAGGTCAGCTGATGGTGCCTTGTCGAGCAACCATCAGTTGGCGCTGTCATATCAGCATCGCGTCGATACCTCTTTTTTTATCATACATCATATACTTTTATCACTTTAATATAGTATATGAGAACTATTATATTACGCGAAAGGGAATCAATAAATGAAATAAACATTTATAATATATTTTTGTAATAGGCGCATTTTCTATTTTTCTAATTTTCTAAATTTATCGATAGATATAATTATTCCTGTTATCTATTGTCGGTAATAATGTCATATTTCTATAGCTACATATATATTTGATCCATTAAATGAGAGATTTGTAATATATTTGGAAAGTCTATCAATTAAATATTATTATAGATGGAGAACACGATAATTCTGAAATGAAGTGAATAATATTAAATAAAAACCACTAATTATATGTACGGGAGTATATTGAAAAGTGCGTTTTCTAAATTTACGTGCGCCATCTATGATGAGTGCACCAATATGTAAAGTTACATTTTGATAGATTTGAAATTGTCAATTGTTAATCGCGCGCGCAACGGCTGATAGATCCGCGATGAAACTGCTCCGCATTTTCCGTGTTGCATTCGTTTGCGTCCGAGAGCGGTTTTCGTGCTCGTGTCGCGAATGCATGTTGCAAAGTCGGATGTTGCAAGCGTAAAGCACTTGAACGCGATCGTTGTTATATGCCAGTATCGCGATTTTCGATACCGCGTTTGTGCGTTTAGAAGGAACGGCCATTTGTCAATACCTACGCCATATTTGCCACTTCTCATCAAAATTCATCGAAAATATGAGTTGTCGTACAATCATTCCAGGGTATGTGCTTATCGTTTTTTAGTGTTTTTGTAATACGGAAAATTTATTTTGAAATATCAGTTCTTTGCATCCACGATCGTCACTTATATGTTTGTTCTGTTAAAGGAGCAAAATCGCCGTAGTTAATAATTTGCAATATTAAGTAAAAATTGACCGATGAAACTAAATATATACTGAATGAAAAAAAACGTCATATTTGGATAAAGTGATTCTTCGTGCCTGATACTTTTTGTGAATATAATTTTCAGTTCAAGCTGTATACCGATTAATTATTAATTTCTTGAAATACAATCCTAAATTGCAGTTGGAGTAGTAATATTACAATGGCACGCAATTTAATATTATTGTTGCAAATAAGCATATTTGTTAGAAAGCTATTAATGATGCTAATATACATCATAAAAACTTATATATAACTTAAATAAATTATTGCGAGAAATATTACTTTAGTTGATTTAAAACACGAAAGGCATCTCTTGTTAGTTAACGATGAATGTCACAATTAAATAAAATATCCCAAAATATATAGGTAAACATTATTTTTTGTATTGAAAATGTATAATATAACAATCATATTACTGATAATTTAAAAATGGATCTGTTAAGATATGTGTTAAATTTATACATTTTATATTAATTAAATGTATGTAAAAGTAAAAAGTTTATATTTTTTTCTTTAGAAATTAAAAAATTGTTTTGTACAATTTTTGCATCTATAAGCCGATGCATGTTATTGTGATGTTACCGACTATCGACAGTTTTTAAAATTATTTTTTAAATCTTACTTGATAATAACAAAATTTTATTGTATGGAGAATTGATATCTAATAATAATTTTACTAATGATCATATGTAATAGTTTAACTGAACACTAAAAGAAACGTTTATATTATCATTTAAAGGTAAAAGTTTATGTAATATTTTTAACATGATTAGTTTGTCTAAATTTATTATATCTAACAAAAAATAAATATTTTATATAAGTAATTATTGATATATTTAAAATTAATTTTTTCAGGAGACTGAAAATCTTCGGGCTATTGAGCTATTTTTGAGTTACACAGAGGGTGCTCGGTGAGTACCAATTAAATGCTGCACTCTGGCGGTGATTTTAGCACTAGCAAATCTATTTCTCAACTTATTTAATTTTTTACTATTCAATTTATATATTTTATTACTTTAGAATGGCTCTTTTATACAAAAATATTCTATATTAAAACAAATTTATCTAAAAAGATATTTGTGAATTATATATTTTTATGAAACTTATTATTACTTGTGAAACAAGTGATAATTTATTTCTTAATTAAAAAGATTCTTTTCAACATAATTGCTCATATCGTAGATAATTTAAAATATCGCAGAAAAAATTTATTTTAACATATATACTTTCTTTGTCTAATTAATGTAAATAAATTTTCCTGAAATCTAAACAAAAATATGTTGCAGTTATAGATTTACTTGTGCTATTATTTGCATGATTCAATCAAAGATTACGTTGCATCTTAAATATGCATCGTTATAAATACACGTCAGAAATCCTCTCTTGCTTAACTTTAAATTTTATATGACGTGCGAAAGAATTACTTCCCAATGACAAAGAGCACGATGGAACTTTATATTTATTTGACGGCCGGTAGCTAGCACCAATGCCACCAATTGCCATGTACAAGTTTATGTTAATGTTGACGAGCATTTTAAGCGATATTTCGTCACGTATGCATAAATATCGAGTGGCTGCCAAGAATCAACAGGTGGCAGCTCGTTTCTGTTTCTTCGCTCGTGCTCTCGCTCGCGCGATATAACTTGAGTTTCACGCGTATTCATCAC